TCCCATCGTGGCAATTGAGTTAACTGAAAACCAATGTCAGAGTGTGACCCCTGAAATCGCAGGGATCCTTTTGGAATGTACTGCTTGTTCTTTTTTTAGTTGACAGGAGGGGGTGCCAGGGACCGTGCAAGTCTGGCACTAACAAAGACACTTGCACTGGTCTGTGATATAGCTCCACGCTGGAGCTATGTGCCTGCTTTGAGAAGAACCTACGTAAGTGCAAAGCTGTCTCATTCTTTGTTGTGCAGTAAGCGTCTAATGCAGCGGCAAGTCACTTCAGCAGTTTCGTGAGCTTGAGCCTTGAACCTTTTGGCGAACTTTGGAAGCCTTTGCAGGTTTATGGTCCTAGGCTTTCACATGTTCACTCTGGTTTCTTGGGTTTTTTCACTTAGGCTGGCGTGTGGCAACCGCTTTCAGTTCCGTACGCAAAATCATAATGCCAGCCCAGGGTGGCCCCGAAGAGTGGCCCCTTGTGGACCCGTCGAACGGGGGTTTGTCGTTATCTCCCCTGCCCGGAGATGTACGTGCCCAGAGCGGGCGTAGGTGGCCTAGGCCGAGAGAACTCAGACTTTTGTCGAATTTATGAAGTCCAAGCTGGCTCATGCCTTTACGTGACCAAAGCGGTCAAACAGCCTTCGGGCAGGCCGTACGTGGTCGCAGCGACCAAAGCTTGCTCAAGGTTCATTGGAACCTGTCGGGTGCTTGGGTGCACACACCGCGTACACACTTTAACGAGGCAAGGTCTACCTACTAGGTGTTTTTAATGAGGTTTGGTTTCGTTGGTTTCTGTCCCCTTCATTTGGTTTCCTCTTTCATCCTTCTCCCTTTCACACACATCTTTTCTCCTCTTTCATGTCCTCCTGTCTTCATGTCTTTCATCTCATCCTTCCTTTCGTTTGCGCGCACATCGGTCCCGGCCTTATAGCGTGTACGTGCACAACTTCACGTACTTTAAACCCAGGTCATAGGTGGCCCAGGTTTTTATAATGAGGTGGGTTTCATTGTTTGTCCCTGTGCACTTGGCTCCCCTTTCATCACACCCACCTACACCTTTGTCCCGTCCTGTCCTCTTTTCATGTCTTCATTCTTTTGTCTTTCGCGCGCGCGCACATGCACATGCGTCCTGCCCTTAGCATTTTCGGCCCCCCCTCTGGGGGGCGTGTGTGCGTGTGACCCCTGAAATCGCAGGGATCCTTTTCGAATGTACTGCTCGTTCTTATTTTAGTTGACAGCAGGGGGTGCCAGGGACCGTGCAAGTCTGGCACTAACAAAGACACTTGCACTGGTCTGTGATATAGCTCCACGCTGGAGCTATGTGCCTGCTTTGAGAAGAACCTACGTAAGTGCAAAGCTGTCTCATTCTTTGTTGTGCAGTAAGCGTCTAATGCAGCGGCAAGTCACTTCAGCAGTTTCGTGAGCTTGAGCCTTGAAATCCCCTGCAAAATTTCCTCTACAGATTCAAAGCACCCAGGTGCTCAAAATGACCATTTTGTAGAGAAAAAATTGGGTTTCTACAAAAGGAACCACCTGGGTGGTCAAATCTGTAGAGTGATCAGGGTAGTTTTTGAGATTTTTAGCAAAAACATAATTTACTTGGGGGGATTGATTTTATAGAAACGTCATGTTCTTACATATCTTTCCGTTGACTCGAGCATGTGCACCCACCCACCATAATTTTGTAGAGGGTTAGAAGCCATTTTGTAGAGATGGTTTGTAAAGCATCCTTCTGTTGACACAAGGGTGTGCACCCACCCACCATAATTTTGTAGAGGGTTAGAACCCATTTTGTAGAGATGGTTGGGAAATGCGTCGAGTTAGTAGCCGTGCTTGGCCGGGCTGCATTATGTGTGCTGGCTGAATTTTATTGGCCTTTAGCCTTCAACCAACTCTTCAAAACTGCTTTACAAAAAGAGGCGGTGTACATCGCGGAAAATGGCAGGTCTTTTGTTCCCTGCCACCCACATCGGAACGCCTGCGCTCTTGGTAATAAACTCGTGGGTTCACTCGTTTCAAATTTCTCTTCACCAGTCGGGCCTAGGCTAGAACATCCTGGAACCATTCAGCCTTAGAAGATTCTACCTGATTGCTGTTAAATCTCACGACAAAGCAAAAGCAACCACTTGTATGCGTCAGTCAAGGAACCTTGATTCGCTCTCTGTCCTTCTTGGTCAACTTCCTCTTGAGCTGCTTTGTTGACCTGTCATGAAACACATTAGGTTAAACTCCCCTGCGCCAACCACATTTTCTGCTTCAACCAAAAAATATACCAAACTGAAATCACTAAATGGATCTCTTTGAGGCTGGCACTCCATGTTCGACAGCATGTGCGTAGGCTTGGCCAGATCATGGGAAAAGAAACCCATGTATGTGAGGACCACAAACCTAAGGATCAATGAGACAACTACCCTTCCAAGCCGGGACCCTCCAGGGGCCCTGATTTTGTAGAGATTGAGTGTGGGGTGGGGGGGATGGATATTCTTGAATTTGGCAAAGTGATGCCAGGTGTATTTTTTGATTTTGTTAAAACCCGGACCCTTGAGGGGCCCTGGTGTTGCAGAGATTGAATGGGAGGTGGTGGGGCAGGCTGATTCATGAATATGGCCACATGCTTTATATAACTGTTTGGATTTTCCCAAAACCTGGACCCTTCCCACCCTTCCAAGCTGGGACCCTCCACAGACCCTGATTTTGTAGAGATTGAGTGGGAGGTGAGGGGGAAGGATATTCTTGAATTTGGCAAGGTGATGCCAGGTGTATTTGTGGATTTTGTTAAAACCAGGACTCTTCCCACTCTGCCAAG